AGAAGACATTTATATTATCACATGTTTACCCATTACTGTCACATGACTCAATTGGCTCATTTTTTATTGTTTATTCTTAATAAAGGTGACAACTACTGGGTCATTGACACCGACTACGACAACTATGCTATCACCTATGCTTGCCGCACTCTGAAGGATGATGGCACATGCGATGACGGCTATGCCCTGATCTTCTCACGCAACCCCCGTGGCCTACCTCCTGCAATCCAGCGCATCGTCCGCCAGAAACAGGACGAGATCTGCATGGCTGGTCAGTTCCAGCCCGTGCTACAGTCCGGTAAGTTCACGGACAGAAGTCAGGCTCTCAATTTAGCTACAGTTAAATATGCAGATAAAGATAGAGTTCGGATTTCTCTGTCTGATTTCTCTCATCTCTCATTTTACAGGGGCTTGCTAAGCTGTTAGAGGAAACAAAGATGGGTTCCTTTAGCATGCTGGCAAAAGAAGAGGCATCCACTGTCATTCCATTTCAGTGCTGTAGAGATGCATGTGTATCAGGGAGACATCAAATCAATTAACTTCTTATCTCAAGGGAGTCAAGTAATGTGTCTTAAGTGTCTGTGACAATAAATATTTTTTAAACAAAACTTAAGTCATTTTTTATAGAATTTACAGGGGTGGGGGATTGTGTATTGCTTTGCATATCATCTTTAGGACCACTGGCCATGGTGTGAAGTCAGTCTGGTGAAGGATTCTTTACAGATTACTGCAAATTTAAAATATATTAAAATGGATACATTAAAATGGAGCAGTTTGAATGCCCCATTCAAATTGAAAGAGACATTATATTCCAGCACATTTGCACTGATAACCAATGCCAAGAAAAAACAGAATCAACATATTAAAAAAATAAATAACAAAGGACAAGAAATATTTCTGTTTGGGGAACATAATAGAGATTATGGGAAAACTTACTCATATACGTTTAGAACATTGTGATTAAAGCAATGAGTAACCATAGTTTCTGTAATGCCAAACCATTCATGAACATTAATAAACATAAATAAACATACTGACCTGTTTTAAAATGGGAAAATGTTTGCAGAAGTGAGATAATTGGGGTAAAACAAGTGTTGTGTAGCCAAAAGAAGATCAAGTTATCCACACTGTAAAAAAAATATTTTCATGATTTGTTATTACAACTTTTTATCTTGTGTCAAATCAACTTAGACCATTAATGTGGTTCAGAAAACATAATATATTGAGTTTCTATTTATTAAACCAATCTACCTCATTGTATTAACTCAAAATTGAATTTCAATGAAGTCAAAATTGTAAGGCTTTTTTAAGATAAACTAAACAATAGTTTTTTAAAAGTGTACTAGGCTAGTGCCGTCTTCCTGTAAACTGATATTATATAACTGTTGGTTCCAAACAAATTAAATGCATATAAAAATTAAATTAATTCTTAGAGAATGGACAAATGTTAAGAAATTACAATTATATCATAATTACTTACCATATCATTCCATACCATATACATACCATTCCATTTTCTATTATACTATTCCAATTATATTTGCAGCAAAAAATATATTTTGCAAAGAATCAAAGATATTTGCATTCCTAAGAGTAGCCTATTTAAAACATTTTATGTAGATGTGTTTTTCATAGTGATGATATGAATTCAATTAGGTCTATCAGAAGATCTATCTTTCAATGTTAATTTCAGGTATGTGTTTTGCTGAGGTAACACAGTTAATATACAGTCAATGCAACAACTTTAAAAGATTCAAAGAAAAAAGGATTGCCTAAGTAAGAAATGTATGAACTTTTTTAAGCATTATTACATGTTGGGTCATCCGAGGTCTTGTCAATTTATCTTCAATAGGTTAATACCCTCTGAAAACTGTTCTTATTATGACTGTCTGCCGCTAAGTATTCTCATGCCAGCTGGTGTCTTGGAGACATAACAGACTGTCTGTACTGAGCCAAGTCTCTGCTAGAGAAAGTCAGGGTTAATGACATAAGTGGCTTTTAAAGCCTGGCGATAGGTAAACTAGAAAAGTCCAGACTACAGACTGGAAGTCTGATTCAGTTCTCTGAATGTAATTAAATTAAATCTAAATATTTACATTTCAACACAGCTCCCTCTTTTGGTTATAACATGCATCATCATCATGCAGCTACATTGAAACATATTTAAATAATACACATTAAAAAAAAAAAAAAAAATTCATTTTGATAATGCCAGCCAAAAAGAACCTATTTGATAGCAAACCCTTACATTTTCTAAAGACTGTATAACTTATGTCACGAATGTTCACTGAAGTGCAGACATGTACACATTTTAAAAACATTGTGATAAAAGCAATGAGTAACCATACTAATGTCCCACCATTCATGAACATTAACAAAGTGGCAGAATGTCAGCAAATTTAAATGACCATATACTGACCTGTTTTTAAAAGATAATTAACTTGGGCTCATGCTTTGCTTTGTTAATGCTGTGGAAATATATATATATATTGAAAGGTCATAATGAGTCTTGCTACGCAAATACTGAATCTTTGCCATTAGTATAAGCAGGGTTTGAAATTAACTTTTTCACCCACTAAATTTTTAAGTTACCGGCCATTCAGGACTTCTACAAGTCAACAAAAAAGAAGAACAAATTAACCAGATTTACTACATCACAACATATATATATATATATATACAGTATCTCACAAAAGTGAGTACACCCCTCACATTTTCTCAAGGGACAATACTATAGCAATGAAACTTGGATAGATTATAGAGTAGTCAATGTGCTGCTTGTACAGCAGTATATATTTACCGTCCTCTGAAAATAACTCAACATACAGCCATTATTGTCAAAATAGCTGGCAACAAAAGTGAGTACACCCTAAGTGAACATGTCAAAACTGTGTCCAAAGTGTCAATATTTTGTGTGAGCACCGTTGTTATCTATCCGTAATTCTCCTAGGCATGGGATTCACCAGAACTGCACAGGTTGTTGCTGGGATCCTCTTCCACTCCTCCATAATGACAATCTCCACCTTCCGCTTGAGGATGCCCCACAGGTACTCAATAGGGTTCAGGTCTGGAGACATACTTGGCCACTCCATCACCTTCAGCTTCCTCAGGAAGGCAGTTGTCATCTTGGCTGTGTTTTTGGGGTCGTTATCATGCTGTTCGGCCCAGTTTCTGAAGGGAGGGCATCATGTTCTGCTTCAGAATGTCACAGTACATGTTGGAATCCATGTTTCCCTCAATGAAGCGCAGCTCCCCAGTACCAGTAGCACTCATGCAGCCCCAGATCAAGATGCTACCACCATACTTGTAGGCAAGACACAATTTTCTTGGTACTCCTCACCAGGATATCACCACACATGCTGGACACCATTTGTGCCACACAAGTTTATCTTAGTCTTATCAGACCACAGGACATGGTTCCAGTAATTCATGCTCTTTCAGCAAACTGTTTGCAGGCTTTCTTGTGAGCCAGCTTCAGAAGAGGCTTCCTTCTGGGACGACAGTCATGCAAACCGACTTGTTGCAGTGTGCGGCGCATGGTCTGAGCACTGACAAGCTTACCTTCCGCTTCTGCAACCTCTAAAGCAATGCTGGCAGCACTCATGCATCTGTTTTTTGAAGCCAGCTTCTGCACCTGACGCACAGCACGAGGACTCAACTTCTTTGATCGACCCTTGCGAGGCCTATTCCGAGTGGAACCCGTCTTGGAAAACCTCTGTATGACCCTGGCCTGTACTGTAATTCAGTTTCAGGGTGTTACCAATCTTCTTGTAGCCTATATAGGCCATCTTTGTGGAGAGCAACAATTCTAATTCGCAAATCCTTAGAGAGTTATTTGCCATGAGGTGCCATGTTGAACATCCAGTGGTCAGTATGAGAGAATTCTACTCAAAGCACACATATTAACTGCTCTAATACAAGATACACAAATTTGTATGGTCCTGTCAAGCAGACAAACACATGAACATGATGAATAGGACATGTGGCATAAACAAGGTACTGCTGTTATCACTTAGTTTGTACTCACTTTTGTTGCCAGCTATTTTGACAATAATGGCTGTATATTGAGTTATTTTCAGAGGACAGTAAATATATACTGCTAAATAAGCAGCACATTGACTACTCTCTAATATATTCAATTTCATTTCTAAAGTATTGTCCCTTGAGAAAATATACTAAAATGTTTGCTGAAATGTGAGGGGTGTACTTTTGTGAGATACTGTATATATATATAGTATATATATATATATTATTATATAAAATTTGGATTTCATACATTCATTTCTTATTCAAACATCTGTCATCCAGCATCTCTTCCCTTCCCTTTTCATCCTTATCACCAAAAATGTATTTTAGGTGGACAAATCAATACAGTACAAAGAACATGTAGGATGTTGGAAAATAACAATGTTTTTTCTGATTCTGTTAAACAAATGCTTATTAATATTTGCTATTACTTCAATGCAAATGAATAAAATGAAGCGCGCCGATTAGGATGCTTGAACAAACAGAGCAATGTTTTGACAGCAACACAGAGCCATAGACACAAAACAGTGCTACACTTTTACAGGAAAACAACCTACAAAAGGCATATTAATATTAAAATTGCCTAAGACAATTAAGAGAAAGCATTAACAATCCAAAAAAATAACACAAAAACAACACGCTTCACATTTAAAGTATGCTCAATGCATATATTTTGAAGTCCTAAAGTCTGTGGTTAATGATGAGATATATGTTATATATGTATCAATACAAAGTCAAATTCCAGTGCAATTGTATAACAAAGAAAAAATGACTGTCATGCCTCATGTGGCTCTTGTGCACTACTCAGATGCTTTCAGCTATGTATAAATTCAGTAATACTAAGAAGTGACTGTGGGTGGCACTGTTTCTATGGTGATCAGCCCACAGCCCCTCCTTCTTTCTCTTCCTCTCTCTCCATCTGTCTATGATTGGTTGCCGTCGGGTTAAGCAAGTGAAGTAACATCTTTACCCACAATCCTTTGCCCCATCCAGTCAAGCTACTGTGCACCGGGAAATTCTGCAGTGAAGGCATGGCAAATGTATTCTCCATTCTACTCATCCACTCATATAATAAGGGTGAGTATTATATTCATCCTCAGTCTTTGTATGGTGGTGGGCTTCCTCTTATTCACAGACTTTATATATTAGTGTGATATCACAAGAATATTTAGATAAAGCAACAGTATCATAAGAAATGTAGATAAAGCAACATCCCTCTTGCCTTTTGGCACATTCATGTCATGAAACATTTTAAGATTTATAGACACTTTAGAAATGACACTAAACTGGTAAAACTGGTTTCCACACATTATTTTTGCCTCTGTCATTCACTCATAACATATTTACTCATAAAGTATATGACTCATATAACTGACTCATTCAATTTAAAGTGGACCGAGATCTGTCTCTATACAACCTGCAATACTTGATAAAGACTGTATGACTGAAATTAAGAAGAGTGGATAGGACAACATTATTCTTAACTACAGAATATGTATTCGAACAGATGACAGAGACTTACAGTTTGCAGAATAAACTGGTTTCCTGGACAGGTCTTTTGTTATTTATTGACACAGCAATCTCTCTCTCTCTCTCTCTCTCTCTCTCTCTCTCTCTCTCTCTCTCGGCAGCTTCCTGTTAGGGGTCAAGACAATAATAGTAATGCAAATAAAACACACACAAACACAAACACACACAAACACACACACACACACACGCACACGCACACACACACACACACACACACACACACACACACACACACACACACACACACACACACACACACACACACACACACACACACACAAACAAACACACACACACACACACACAAACAAACATGAAAAGAAATGTGCACATCCACAAATATAAACTATGATTTAACTTAATAAATATGCTATCGTATTAAAAAAATTTTTTAAACCATTGTCAGGTTTCAATGATAAAATCCCATGTGATCCATGTGAGGTTCCATGGGACCTATATTTAAAAAGCAGAAAATTGATGATAAAGGACAGAGATAAAAAGCACCCTGCAGAAATGTGTGTGTAAATCATATTTCACACGATTTCTCACAGTATAATGCCATGGATCCTGGAAGTAGCATGAAAAACAGCATGCTGAGAGTAACATCTCTGCATTCCCTGAAATAAAGAGCCACTTCTAAAACTAGTTCTCTAAACCTCATTTAACTTGTTCAGATGAAACTTTGATTCTGTTATTTTCTTTTCAAATTTAAAATTATATTAATATTGAAATGAGCTAAAATCTGGCTCGCGTTACACTACTCAGTTCAATCTATAAATCATTTAACTAGATCAAATGAAACTTTGATTCCATTAATTTCATTATTTTTCATTATTTTTCATGGAACAATCTGATGTGTGAAATGTTTTTGCTCCGTCTGATAAGAATCAGTAAAAGATTGACTTTGTGTCTTATTGCCAGGATGCTCTGCTATTAATCAATACATAACACAAACTAGCATATGTTTAACCCAGGAGTGACGCAACACTTCCGCCTTCTGTTCCTACAGCCTATGAAAACCACTGACGTTGGAATGAGGGACTGCCTCAAGGTTTTTGCATACTGAAGCAGCATGGACTTGCGGCACTGCTTTTCATTTAGCCGGTGGGAGGTGGGGTAAAGAGGTCAGTGCATAAATTGACATTCAATTTATAGCTTAATTTCTATTCTTTAAGAGACCACTTATTCAGGTGAGTGTTGTATTTAATAGTTGCTCACTTAGATTGTAATTCCTCTATTAAAATCAGACACCTTGACCACATCAAGGACAACTGCAGAGGAAAATAAAATCATTGTTAATGCCAGTTCAAATACAATAAACTTTATGAAACGTCATCATGGAAAATGGTCTTATCTAAGTGGTGATTTTACGACCCTCCAATAAAAAAGGCAATTATGACAATAAATAGCATGCATGCATAGTTCACTTTGATTCCAGACTTCATTCATTGTCAAGAAGGACAGGCACATCCAAACTTAGATGCTTGCCAGTTGCCACATTGACATGAAGAGGATTTAATGGGACAAGGAATCAAAAAGAAATGTTTGGTGAGATTTTTCTTTGAACTAATTAGTAATTGGACGTTTTTACTCAAGAATTGCTTTTAATAGCCCCATCCCTTCGCTTAAATTAATGTGCCACATACATCTGACCTTGTCATTTGTGAAGTGGGGGTTGTCACTTTTAACAATGATTATTAAAGGCAATTGATTTTACCATCATTGCCACCATAAAAGAGTTGTATAAACATAATACATTGTGCATACAAAATCCTAATAATAGTTCTGGCTGAGATGAGATGTAAGATCAAGCTTTTGTTTCTTAGTTTCGCTCTAGTCTGTAGATCAAGCAGCTGTAGAGGCTGTGAAAAGAGAAGCACGTGAGAATCATTTATAATGATTGGTGAATGCTGTCTGCAAAACATCTGATAATTGTGTTAACTTGTGTGACTAATTATTGACTTGAAACAGCCAAAAAAAGAAAATAGAGGAAACTGAATTCCATTCAGACTTGTCCTAAGCATAGCGATTAATCAGTTACCCCTATTTAACAGACATCCAGTTTGATCTTTAAGGGAGATCACTTACTGATCAAAGGTCTTTGTCCCTTTTTCAGGAGCTGTGTTAAAAGCCTCATCAGTGCATGGGTCTCTCATCACTGGAAGCCATGGAGGACCTAAACTCTGTGACTGTGGCCCCACTAAAGCGCCGAGTACGACAGAGGAGAAGGATTCATGAGATTATCAAGACCAAGTTGCAGCGAAACCTCTCCTGCTCGGGACCTAAAGTGAAGAGGACTCTAACAGGCTTCTTCCCCGTAGTTAAATGGCTTCCAAAGTACAAGGTAAAGGAATATATATGGGGAGATCTGATGTCTGGGCTCATAGTTGGCATAATACTGATCCCTCAAGCCATTGCATACTGCCTGCTGGCCGGCTTGGACCCTATCTATGGCTTGTACACATCGTTTTTTGCAAACATCATATACTTTTTCATGGGGACGTCAAGACATGTTTCTGTGGGCATCTTCAGCCTCATGAGTCTGATGATTGGACAAGTTGTGGACCGAGAGGTTTACCTTGCAGGCTTTGATTTGAATGAAGACAATACAAAAAACGCATTTGGGTTAAATGGCACTGGGGAAACCAACACCACTGTTGTCAACTTGAAGATCATGGCACTGAATATGGAATGTGGAAAAGAATGCTACGCCATTAGCATTGCCACAGCTTTAACATTGCTTGCTGGAGTCTACCAGGTACGTACATATTCTGGCAAGGTCTAAGAAATTTGCTAAATGTACTTTATGATTCCAAAAATGTGTTGTAACCATCAAACAAAAAGTAGTAAAATATTTTCATTTAAATACATGTGAGTGGACATATCTTAATCATTATTTTAAATAAATAAATAAGGAAAAGGGTGTCAAAAAGTGGGAGCACTGTCATAAAAAGGTCAAATCTGATACTTTAAGAGATTAAATAAAACTATTTTGTTCAAATGTATTTCTTTAAAAATATATAATATAATATTAATAATCTTAATAATGACATCTTTTAGATGAATAATATTAATTATATTTACATTTTTACTTTATGCCCCCCAAAAATATCCACATACAGAAGTTTAAAAAGCTCATTATAAAAGAGGCGTATTCAAGTCATTGTACATGCAAACTGTATATATATATATATATATATTTTTTTTTTACTTCTAAATGAATACAAAAAATCTATGCCATGTCATTGACCTGAAGGTGTATTGTATTTTCTCCTCAGGTGTTGATGGCTGTTCTCAGGCTGGGGTTTGTCTCCGTTTATCTCTCTGCTCCTATGCTCGATGGCTTTGCCACTGGGGCATCTTGCACTATCCTCACTGTTCAGGCAAAGTACCTGCTTGGCCTTAAGATCCCTCGACACCAAGGCTATGGGACAGTGGTGGTCACCTGGATCAACATCTTCAAGAACATCCACCAAACCAACTTCTGTGACTTAATAACAAGTGCCATTTGCATCATAGTGCTGGTTGCAGGAAAAGAGATCCAGGATCGCTACAAAGACCGTTTGAAGATACCACTGCCCACAGAACTGGTGGTAGTGGCAGTTGCCACGATAGTTTCCCATTTTTCTGATTTAAACGGGCAGTTTAGCTCCAGTATCTCAGGTGCCATTCCAACTGGTTTCATTCCTCCAAAGGTGCCAAGCGTTGAACTGATGCCCCGGGTAGCATTTGATGCCATTCCATTAGCTGTCATCAGTTTCGCGTTTACTGTTTCTCTATCCGAGATGTTTGCTAAAAAGAACGGCTACACGGTTAGGCCCAACCAAGAAATGATAGCAATTGGGTTCTGCAATATAATTCCTTCATTTTTCCATTCTTTCACTACAAGTGCCGCCCTTGCGAAAACTATGGTGAAGGACTCAACAGGTTGCCAGACTCAGGTCTCCAGCGTAGTGAGTGCCTTAGTGGTTCTTCTAGTCCTCCTCTTCTTTGCACCATTTTTCTACGCCCTGCAAAAATGTGTCCTCGCCTGCATCATCATCGTCAGTCTGCGGGGAGCCCTGCACAAATTTCGAGACGTCCCTAAACAATGGCGTGAGAGTAAGATTGAGGCGATTGTCTGGTTGGTGACCATGAGCTCAACTGCTCTAATAAGCGTGGAGCTTGGATTGCTGATTGGAGTGGTCTTCTCTATGATCTGTGTGGTGGTCCAGACTCAGAATCCTAAGGTTTCGTTACTGGGACAAATTGAACAAACCAGTGACTATGAGGACATGGAAGAGTATGATAATCTCTCGCCTATTCCAAAAGTGAAGATCTTTCGTTTTCAGGCGCCTCTTTTCTACGCCAACAAAGACTTCTTTTTAAAGTCTTTATATAAAGCAACTGATCTTGAGCCATTCCTTGAAATAACCCGCAGGAGAAAACTGGAGAAAAAAGCTAGAGAAAAAGCTGTGAAGAAGACTGATAGCGTAGATCAAACAAATGGAGATGTAAGTGTGAGCTTGATTTCAAAAGACTTAGATTTTCATACTATCATCTTGGATTGCTCCTGCATCTCCATAATAGACACAACAGGAGTGAGCACCTTCAAAGCGGTTTTAAAAGACTATAAAGAAGTTGGCATCAATGTAATTCTAGCTTGCTGCAACACAACCATAATAGATTCTTTAAGTAGAGGCTATTTCTTTGGGGCTGGTGACAAAGACATGGAAAGACTGTCATTTCATACCATCCAGAGTGCTGTTTGTTTTGCTACTGGTTCGACACAACCGGTTAATGACTCGTCTGTGTGATGTGTCCACAAATGGGCTTCAAGAGCTGAAAAAAACCTGTTTCTATTAAAACATTTGAAACATGAAATTCAACTCCTGAAAAATTATCTCATGTTGAACAAGTTTATGAAAGCATCAACTGATGGCACAAAAATTCCACTCCTGTTTGAATATGAATATTCAGAATATTGTGCTACTGTACAAACTCAGGGGTTATGATTATATACTGTTAGACAAAATTGCATTTTTTTACTTAAAAATTAGCAACAAATAGCAAAATGATTTTTTTTTTATTATATATTTCTAATGACAAACTAATCCCTCAAAAATAAGTGTAATATTTAATACCATTTTAAATTTTAAATATAGGCTATATATAATATCCTTTGTGGAAACAAACAAATTCTGACATCAATAAATAAACACAGAGCCATGAGAAGGCAATACAGATTTGTGAATTTAAGTGATTTTAAGTTATTCTACTGTATTTTATATGTGAACATGTTTTTATGGTTTTCTTGGGAAATAAAAGTGAATGATGATTTTCACCTGGAGAAGTGATTATATTTTAAACCTGTGTCAATAACTATTATTTGGACTCCACCATTTGGATACTTGCTGCCTCAAGGTTACTTTTAAGTTGTATTTAACTTCAAATGCACATGAATGATGCCTTGAGAGGAGAGACGGAGCAGGAATCCCCTGATAAATATTGTATAAAACCACATATTATTATTTGATATATATATTTATGTGTTCACAATGCAAAAACGTTTTAATTTTAGTAGCTACTTTATGTTATTGTGCCTCTTGTTTTCAGTTAACATTGTACTATTGTTTAAAAAAAATGTTGGAGATAAAACAATAATAGTTGGACCCCCTGCAGACCTAGTTTAAAACCCCAATTGCCAATGTGTTGGCCAAGAAACACACACAAAAGTGGCATTACAGCTTACTGTAAGTTACCTGATTTGAAGATTCTCCACAGACTGCAGATTTTGTGGTTTGTAGGCCACCTGGCTGCATGATTCATCATTTGTCCAGTTCTTTTACAACAAATGTGTAGTTTCGTATCTATTATGTTTAAGTGGACCAAAGGTCCACAGGTTATCTGAAGGTTATTCCAATATTTTTTTATCACACTAACATCATAAAGGTTGTGACGAAAACAAAACAAACAAAAAAAATGAGTGGAGCAAAGGTCCACAGGTTATCTGAAGGTTATTCCAATATTTTATCAACCTAACATTCAAAAGGTTATGACGAAAACTAAACAAACCTTCGTTATCATAAATCACTACGGAATGCGTTTGATTATTATGATAAGGAAACTATTCCGCTCCAGGACGCAAAGTGGCGCACTTGTCTTTTCACGCTGAATCGAGTGAAGAAGACAAGAAGACGTCACGTCAGTTACGATTCAAATTTTACCGCTCGCTGGCTGCGGGGAGAGACGACTGTTATTTATTTGTATACATCATATTATCTTTAGTTTATCGACGGAGTTGTGCGTCAATACGGTATAACGATGTCTTGTCGAAGAAGGTAAGTGTGTATACGCGGAGACTGTTAAACATCGCGAGATTATATTATATTATATAATCTGGTATTTACTGTGGCTGGCAGTGGCAACATAAAACACATGTTAGTTACATACATTTACGTTACCTACCTAACTACATGCATTTTGGTAATCCAGCGAGTTTTATTGAAGCTTTAAAAGCTTTTTTGGTGTTCATGTAATTTAACAGTGTTAAATGGATAGTTTAGCCAAATAAATATGATAATAATAATAATAGCAGTAATGAACATTCTGTCATCATTTGCTCACCTTCATGTTGTTCCAAAACTTTAACATTCTTCTGTTGAACACAAAAGGAGATCATTAACTTTCATTGTTTTGCAAAAAGATATAAATGAAAGTGAATTGATACGGAGGCTGTCAGTCCCAGCACTCAAAATCCTTCAATATTCATTTAACTTAATCTAATTTATTTGCTTTTGTTTTCATGAGCAGTGAGGCTCTGGCATTCTCTCTTGTGACTGAGATCAATCATGCGATGGCCAGGCTTGTAGACATATGGGACAGCATCGGCATCATGGAAGAACAGAGAGTGGAGCGAATGCAAACTGTGAAAAAGCATATAGATGTAAGTTATGCCTTTGCATATATCACATCCCTCACATATTTAGGCTTTATACTTACTCTTTATTATACATGTTCTCTAGGGGCTTTTACATTCCATGATCATGGAGGAAGAGGCCTTAAGACATCGCATTAGAACCGATATCATTACTTTCCAGAAACAATTGGACACCCTGTGCTTGGAACTGACAGTTGAGCCGTACAAAGTAAGAGCTGTGAAATATTCTGATGGGTGATTTCGGATTCAGCCCAAAGACTTTATTCATTCATTTATCAAAAAAAGAAATTAAAATAAAAAGTTACTAAATATTACAAAAGATTAATATTTCTACAATTCTACAATTCTTAGATCTACAATTAGATTAATGATTTTCCACCTTTGTTTAGTTAAAGGTACAATATGCTGGATTTTTGCAGTAAAATATCCAAAAACCACTAGGCCAATGTTATATATTTTGTTTTGTTGATTACTTACAATATCCCAAATGTTTCCAACTATTTGTAAATCGTGAGAAAATTGCGATTTTTAACCAAGGAAACGGGGCGTGTGAGCAGGGGTGAGGAGTCGCCAGTCAATGGCGTCATATCCGCGTTACCCCCGGTTTCCGCCAGGTTTGCGCTCGCACTGCGATAGTAACCATGGCGACAGACGTGGACAACCGGGTTATTGCCGTTATGCCTAGCAAGACGCTCACGCTGTTGTTGTTTTGTTTAAACATTATGGACCATGGCAAGCAGACTTTGAGACAAAAAGAGGACTAAAACGAAGATCAACATCTTTCGAAATGCCGAGAGCTCCGCGACTAACTTCGACTTGACAGAGACGCGAGTGTTGCATGTACTTTATTAGACAGGTGAGCAAATGTACATAAAACTAATCAATGTTATTTAAGTTAGTTCAACATGATGAAATGTTAGAATATGATCTGTATGTTATTCTAATGTTGATCTAGCTTACTGCTAGTCTCATACAGCCAACTAACAACATTCAACACACTCAAATGCAGTTTAGTGTGATAGTGTAACTGTTAGAGCAAGTGAAACAGCGCTGCGTTACCTCAAGTTTCATTCGTCTAATAAACTGACCTGTGTGAGTATTAATTCAGCACTTGCGAGTAGTTCGGTAGAATGAAATGTCCTTATTCCTTTATATCCGCGGGACTCGCGTTGCGTGTGGCGCTGGTATACAGCTAGCAATCGCGCCCTTCTTCATACCACAGTCATGTTAAAAACATCTAGGGCTGCTGCAACTAATGATTATTTCGATAATCGATTAATCGGACGATTATTTTTTTCTATTAATCGGATAAAAATTTCAATTTGATTTTTTGTTTATTATAACTAAATAAAACCCTAAATCAGGGTTGTGGCGAGCAGGACGAGGCCGAGGGACGTGAGAGATGCGAGACCGGTGCGTCTCACAGGTGTCGTTCATTATCACTCACGCCACCGGCCTCGCGCCGCTTTCTCACGTCCCTCGGCCTCGTCCTGCTCGCCACAAGGGTATTTATGCGTAAAAGTGTACTTTAAAAAGTGCAAAAGCCACACATTGAGTTTTACTAATATCAATATTTGCTTTGTTTTTAATGATAATTGCTGATGACAAGTTGACAACCATGATTAATGTAAAATTCAGGGTTCCCGCGGATCCTTAAAAAGTCTTAAAAAGTCTTAAATTAGATTTTTTAAATTTAAGACCATAAAAAGTCTTATAAAGTCTTATTTTTACTTATGAAAGGTCTTAAATTTTAGATGACACTTTGACTTAGACATATCTAAAAGCTTTCCAAATTAAAACTATCTAATTAGCGTACGTATTTTTATTTATTTATTATTCTATCTTTGTGGATTTGCTAATTCACGTGACATTTCGCGTCACTCGCGAGTCGCGGCAGCATAACTGTCTCCTGCACGCGAGAGGAGAGAAGGAGAAGAAAGGTCGTAAATGTCAGTTCAGTTGTAAGTTCATTCTTTATGTGCGTATGGTGTGCGATGTGTATTGTCTATTATGATATTGTAATCATTGTTTTAACAATGTACGAGGCACTGCGAGCTGACATCGCATTTGTCTCGTGCTTTCACTGCGTGATGTGTGCAGTGTAACTGTTATGTCCCCAAATTAGTTTTTGTCTTATATTTATATCATATTATGTTCTTATATTAGAATATCACATCAGAAAGAGTGCCGTTTTCCCGTGCACAATTCCAAGTGTGATATTTATGTTATACAAAAGTTAAATTAACAATAAGTTAACATTGAGTTACTTTTTAGACACAATATTGTCAATATTGTTTGTTTTCCCTTTATTTCGCCGACTATAATTTCAAAATGAAACAGTAGCAGAGTCTCAATGCAACCGACAGCGATGATTTCTTGACTGAAATCCGCGTTTTGAACGAATCACTTGCTTCTTTCCCGAATGAATCAGCCGTTTGAACGAATCGGTTGAATGAATGACTCCCTCAACTCACTTACTCACAACAGTGATTTGCCGCTGCGGTTTCATATTTAAAGTACCCTTTAAATAAAATGTTAAAATTAGAAATCATTTCATATTTAAATATTGAATATTGATTTAAAAATAGGCTATATATCTCATAGCTTTATTTATGCAGTTGTAAATGGAGTGTAAATATATTAATGCCACTTCTGATGCCGCTTCTGTCACCTCTGCACTGCAAAGATGGATTTTGATTGAATGATTTAATTTGACTGGTAACAGTGGTACTGTATGATTATTATATAATTAAGTATTATTGTATAATTACTGTATAATGTAATTTGAATGATAGTATTTGACATTAAAGGTGATGCATAACTCTAAATAAGTTTAGAAAAAATGTCCATATATAGGTGAAAATGCCCCTGAAAAAATCAATTTAAGGTGGCAAATATTGCCCCTTAATTAAAATATTAATTTCTGTCACTGCTGTGAACTGACCACTGCATAGAATATGAAAAATATGAATATCTTCGTGAGTCAGCTGTCAACAACAGACCTAAACCAGCCATGGCACCAGCACAAAAACACAATCAGGAAAATATCATCTAATTATTATCAACAAAACGTTGAAAATATCAAGATATATTTTTGTCAATACTGCACAGCCCTAATGTACGGTATTAATTTTGATTTCTTAAGGTCTTAAAAAGGTCTTAAAAAGCCTTAAATTTGACTTTCAAAAGTGTGCAGGAACCCTGAAATTAATAAAAAATTATATCCAACATATGTTTTAACACAATTTTTGTTAAAACAAATTTACACAGACATGTTGTTCAGATGTGAAGATATAAACTAAAAACATCTCAAATATATAATTCATTTAATTTATTTAAAATTAATTGAATTATAAGGATAATTGATCAAATAAATATAGAAAGACTGAAAACAAGCGTGTGAACGTAGAGCCGCAGTAGATCGCGTTTGAAAAAGAATTAAAACTTAATAGTAGACAATAAAAAGAGATGCTATAAAAAGAGAACGGAATGGAGGTACGCAGCAAGCTAACAGGCTTGATTAAAAGGACAGGAAAAATGATGCATTAGTGCACAAGCATTCGCTGAAAACCACTGAGTACAGTGACTAAAAAACAATCTTTTACTGCTGCTGTTATTAACTGCCTTTTTATCTAGTGCTTCACTTTGTAAACACCGTTTTAATTTAACCTATTTCTGTGGTCGCGCTATTTTAATCCATCACTAATGTTGCGAGCGAACTGATTGCGCAACCTGATGCTCGAGACAAAATACAGACATCCCAAGTCTCGCGGAAGTTCCGGAAATCACCCGCATATTGATAGCGGCTCCCTGATGCCCGCAGAGCGCGCATGCGAGACAGAAGAGACTGTGCTCCAAACATATAGACTGTAAAAAAGATCTCGGTCTCTGTGCGCACAGCAGATCGGCGAAGGGAGAGAGACCTTGCGTGTGTCTCATGAAGCGCAGCGCATGTAAGACAGAGAGCATCATGATTGGCCTGTTTCAACCAATCACCAGTAAACGCTCCCCGTGACGTAAGCAGACCAACTAATCGATAATCGATTTTTAGTCGTTTAAATCGATTAGTTGTTTCAGCCCTAATGTATTCGCTCATCCATAAAAGATCCATCAGCTTGACGACAAGATCCATAATTCCGCTTAATGCGGAATATAGAATAGAATAGAAAAACTTTAATCCCCAAGGGGAAATTGCAGTGTTGCAGCAGGATTGTAACAGAATACAAACCAAACATATTACATAGACTGACATATACTGACAAATAAATAAAAAATAGATAAAAATATTACAATGTATCTTAACAAGTATAAAATGTATACACAAGTGCAACAGTGCACAAAGATGTGAAATTAGTATCACATGTGAATATACGTCATCGTTATACGCCTTTGTTATTGTAAGAGGTTAGCGACCCCTGGTGGTGAAAAATTCCTGCATATTGTACCTTTTAAAATTTAATTTAGTTACTTTATAATGCTGTTTATTATGTTAAAATAACAAAATCAACACACATCAGGTATTTAAAACTATTCAGGCATGTCTCAAATTTTGGTAAAATTGTTTTCGGAGAATTTCAGATTTTGTATGCTATTCATGGAAAGTTCCGTTTTTTCTTTTATTATCCTGCAATCTTTTATAGTTTGAGGAAGATCTTACAGTTCTACAGTTGGAGAAGAACCTGCGGTGCCGTGTGGATTCTCTTCTAAAGGAGAAGAATGAACGTTTGAGTGAGCTGACCGATTTGAAGAAGCAGGACGAGGAGTTGTGCGTGACTCTGTGTGCTACCCCATACTACATTCCTTCGGGAAGTGTGCCCTCTCGAACCCAGCTGCAGGAACTCCAGGAGCATGTCGAGAAACTCGGCAAAGAAAAAGTATGTATCCTTTCTCCTTTTGAAAGTGTTCTGAACACTCATGATGAGTTTCTGTCCTGGATGCTTTTGTTATTTTAGCTCTGTGTTTGTAGGAGAGCAGGGTGAAGGTATTCTCTGGGCTCAGGGAGGACATCAGGACTTTAATGGACGAGATGGGACATGAACCAGAGAGCAGTCTGGAACGGGAGTCCATATGCCCCGACACTGACATTTTTCTGCTCACACATGACAATATCAAAGCCTTGAAACTGCTGCTCAGCCAGGTGCAACACTTTAATCATTTTATTTAAAAAAGTTGTTTCAGTTTTGAAAATGTAATTGTTTTATCTGATTTGGGTGGGTAGAAGATATGGATACCATATCTTATTGCATAAGCTAGTGGTTCCATCTAGTGTTTATGCACAGAACACCTTTAGCATCTCAGCCAGGGTCTAAAATGAACATGCCAAATGCAAATAAAAATCACTGCAGAGCATATGAAACTGTTACATTTGCTTGCTGGTCAATAACTATTATTATTATTATTTTGAAATATATATATTATATATTATACAGTGCACTAGTATATTACATATATTATACAGTGCACTAGTATATTACATATATTAACTTATTTAATTTTAGTAATTAAATAAAATAATAATTTTAATAATGATTGTTGTTGTATAGCTGATCATATGCCTGTGGGGGTATTCCAGAAAGCAGATTATGCGACTTACATGGGTATGTTTACTCTGAGTAAGCGGATAACCTTAACTTGCAGTTCCAAAACCTGAGGTAACAATGTAAGTAGCCATAGCAACTTATTCTCTGAAAATATCTTGCTCCGGTATTCAGGTATTCAGCACATGCGTGCCCTATTGATTTTGGAACCTGTGTAGCAAGGTTTGGGTTAATCAACCAAAAGTTCACGGTGTGTGTCATGGTAAGTTAACCTTGATTTCTGGAATACCCCCCATTAATTGAATTAATATTTATTCCACACAGCTTGAAATGAAGAAGGAGTCCTTGATTTCAGCTCGTGACAAACTCAAGGAGCGAGCCACGAGCCTGTGGAATCGTCTGAGTTGTCCTGAGCCGGAAGGCGAGGTGTTCAGAGAGGCTGCGATGAGCACTCTCTCTGATGATATCAGGCGGGTAAGAGCTTTTCCATCTAAACCACAGGATGTCATTTCAGAGCCCTAGAACCTAAGTCGTAGATCTTAACTCTCCTTGTGGTTTACCAACAAATGCTAATGGAGTGCATTTCCTCTTCCAGTGGCAGGGCTGTGTGGAACATCTGGAGAAACTGCAAATGGCTCGACTGGAGGAGGTGGTTGATAAGGTCCGACAGGAGCTTGTGGTTCTATGGGACAAATGCATGTGTGGACCAGAACAGAGAGAGCTGTTCAATGTTCACTTCTGTGATAGTAAGTTACCCAGAACTTAAAAGCAGTCAAGTCATTTAAATATTTAAAGGGATAGTTCACCCAAAAATGAAAATTCTGTAATTTACTCATCCTCACACGTTCCAGATCTGTATGAATTTCTTACTTCTGCTGAACACAAAAGAAGATATTTTGAAGAATATCGGTAACCAAACAATTTTTTTTTTTTTTTCAATGTCAATGGGGCCTTGGGTCTGTTTGGTTGCCCATATTCTTCAAAATATCTTCTTTTGTGTTTAGCAGAGGAAAGAAATCCATACAAGTTTGGAACAACATGAGGGTGAGTAAATGATGACAGAATTTTCAATTTTGGATTAACTATCCCTTTAAAGGTACACTACCCATTTTCCACCAGTATGGTTCACATTCTGGAGCCAGAGCCTGTTGCGAACCGGCCACGTGTTTCCACAGGCTTGAGAAATGAACGCTGACGTAATGCTGCTATGTGTTGTTTTTAACTAGCCTTAAAAAAACATTGCTCGTCCCGGTGTTTCTGCAGGCAGTGCTGCACTTCTGTTTTCCTGACCACAGTACAGGGAGTGATTCTAGAAAACTGGCAGCTCGCATAATCCGCCGGTACTCTCATCTGTCCTTTTTGGAAATAAACTGAAACTGTTGATTCACTCACTCTCTCGCACACTGGGTCTCTCTTGTGCGCAGTTTTATATATTTAGATATAAAGAGCAATATAGTGCGATGTTATTAGTAGGGATGGGAATTGATAAGAATTTAACGATTCCGATTCCATTATCGATATTGCTTATCGATTCGATTCCTTATCGATTCTCATTGGGTGAGGGAATAAGTACAGGGGTGTTATAAGTGTATTAGGGGTGTGAACCTACACTGGTTTCACGGTTCGGTTCGATTACGATTATCATAACATCGATTCAGTTCAATTCGATATCTCGATGCACTGCATCCTCAATTTTCACTTTTACTTCAAAAGTAATCTTTAGCGGAGATTCACTTGCAGAAGCTCGTCCTCTCCTGACAGTGAAATGGACATATTTGTTTGACTCTAACATTTACAGATGGAGAATATACCTGTGAAATGTAAGTTGAGCACTGAGGAAAGCACCACATCTCAAACGCATTAATCAGCGCAAGTATTTATCTGTCAGTCAGCAACAGTATCTGTCAGAGCATCTGACAGGACAAGCTGCTTTAAACTTGTTAACTATATCTTAGGCTACCAGTTATTTTGAAGCCCTTAATATAAGCTTGTGTCATGTTTAGGACAAATTGTAGCCTACTATGTAGCTACTTTCACTGCAGGAGCTCACACTGCGACCTCCGCTATTTTTCAGATGTGCTCATATCAAACTACTGTATCGATATAAACGGTATTGCCTCATTCCATATCGTTTAAAAAAAGTATAGCGATATATCGTACAAACTCGATATACCGCCCAGCCCTAGTGTGCCTGTTCGGGAAGTCACAGTGACAGAAACAGTGACATTCCAGTTTAATTTTCATGGGACTTAAGTCTGTTTATGCCATTAAATTTGTGTGCGCGCGCGCGTCTCATATGAGTATGTGCCTGGAAAAGGGGTATATGCAACTTTTGGCCCTCTAGCAGTTGAAAAATAAAACTGCATGCATTTTGCAGAACATTGTTTTGGTTGTGCTTTGACTGCTTGACTTCAAATGAATCTGACCCTTTACAATAGATAATTACAATGAACTCTGTCAATGAGTATCTGTTGGATAAAATCCCTTACTCACCTGGTGAATAATAATAATGCCATCTTCGTGTCGCTTTTACAGCATTTCAGATCCCTCGGTTGTCGCCATCTCCGGAAAGCCAAGGCAATGTTGATTCTCGTTTAATTACGAGATCTGTCGCGTTGTCTTTTTGCCAGCAGACTCTCCTCTTTTCTGCTTTTTTTTTTTTTTTTTTTTTTAAATGGGTGGAGGCGGTGAAGATTAAGCGTGCTCCATGTCAACCTTTCTCGCTCGTTGTGACAACTAACCCATGCCACGCCCACACCATACACGCATCAAAGTAACCGGAGCACATTTTTTTTCTATTTACGGATATGATTAGATGCGCACAGGCGAGTGACGCATGTACGCAATTTCCCGCCTGCTCTAAAATATTAACACTAATAGGTGTCCGCTTACCATAGTGAATCAGGGTAAGACACATTTTTTGGAGGAAGGATTGATGATTTATTGACTCAATATTTAAATAGTTAATTTTGAACAAGAAAGTAACATTAGCTTAGCTTTAATTCCTAGCTTTTCTCAGCAAATTAATTTTCATTAATTCATTACCATTTTATGGAAATAGTTTAAATATTGTAAAGGTTACCAACCCTATTAAAATCCTTAAATTCAAAGATCTGAAAAAAAAATGGACTCCTTGCTAATGGAAAAAGGCTTTAACTTCATTCTGGTTGAACAGATCACTACACCGAGGAACTGCTGGCCCTCCATGACACGGAGCTGCTGAGAATGATGGCTTTCTATGAGGCAGCACAACCCATACTGGAGGACCTAGAGAAATGGAAGAGGAACTGGGCTCTCTTTCAAGAGTTTGAGGTTCTCTACTCCCATGCTTACAGTCAACTCAACCTTATGTGGTTTCACATGTGTCATTTTGTTCTATACGTTTCACTTACCAGAGAAAGGCTGCGGATCCAAATCGCTTCAGTAACAGAGGAGGGTCTCTGCTCAAAGAGAGTAAGGACAGGGCCAAAGTGCAGAAACTGCTCCCAAAGGTACTTAAAAAAATGTCCTGCTACAAAAAATAAAAATTTGCAACCAAAATAATTTAATTTTATAAAATTCATGATTTTAATTTTGGGGTGACCTATTCCTATTGTAAACAAGTTGTGGCTGTGAACAACAAAAAAATTGTCAATTTACCTGTGTATTTCTACATATACAGCTGGAAGAAGAGTTGAGAGGCCGTGTGGAAGAATGGGAAAAGAATAAGGGGTCTTTCTTCCTTGTGCAAGGTCAAAGGATCATGGATTTCATCTCCAGCCAGTGGGAAGAGAATCGCTTGCAGAAAGATAAGGAGAAGAATGAACGGGTGAGTTTCACTTTATTGGTGTTTAAAATATCAGATGGTGTGCAATTTAGTAGTAAATACTTAGTGACATAATTAGGGCTGGGATAAACGATTATTTTTTAAACGATTAATGTAGCGATTATTTTTTCGATGCATCGATTAATCTAACGATTCATTTTTCCTGTCCGATTCGATTTCGATTCGGTTATCGATTATCTCCCCATTAATTGACTAATAGCAATTTATACATGTTGATTTACATATCTGAATGAAAAAAACATGAGTTCATTAACATTGCAATATATGTTTATTGCTCTTAAAATTCCAAAATAAAAGACTATACAAGCGCAAAGTAATGCATTCTTAGTCATAGGTAGCATTCAATAAAACTTTGAAGCCTTGAAAACACCTAGGCCTAGCTTACTGAAAAAAGTGCTTCTTGTAATTCTTCTTTTAGATGAAAATAATAACTTGATGTCTAGCATTCAATAAAAAAAAAAAACTAAATATTTTTGAGTCTTTCATTTTCTTCATTAATTGAGCGTGAGCAGCACCAAAGACTCCGAAACCCGTTGCTCACGCGCTGCTCCTGCTCCCGGTGTGAATGCACTCCTTGATTAACATGCACTCCGGGGGAAAAAAAACCCGCACTCAGACATCCCAAGTCTCACGGAAGTTCCGGGAGTCTCCCGCATATTGATAGCGTCTCCCAGATGCCCGCAAATTAGTTCAAATCTCTCAGAATCTAGAGTGCACATGCGAGATATTACATACTGCTCGCATAACATACATAGCCCGCGCACGACAGAGAGGGGGAGAGCGAGAGACCTTGCGTGCGTCTCTCGCTCTCTCCCTCTCTGCCGTGCCCGCGCTATGTATGTTATGCGAGCAGTATAGTCAACAATCCAGTCAGCTATACTACCATGATGTCTATGGCTACTACTCTCCGGCGCCGCCATCTTTGTTTTGGGTCTGATGAATCGACGCGCATATTTTGCATATCATCGATGACGTCGACCCGTTGTCCCAGCCCTAGACATAATCTTACCCTTATATAAGTTAGGGCTGTCACGATGTTAGATTTTTCACACCACGGTTATTGTGGCCAAAATAATTCACGATATCGATATATCGCGATATCTATAGAAACCTTGGGGGAAAGAATGTCAAATCAGTCAAATTAATTGGTGGTGTGTGTAAACTCCTAAAAAATAATGTGTTCGAATTTTAAAGAATTCTCTGCGCTTCTCGTCTTTTGCGACTCCCTTTAAAGTGCTGTTTTCTTTGCTGCGCGGGTGCGCGCTGCGTCGTCTTCTCATTTGATAGATGTCAGCGGGTGCAATACTGCCACCTCAACTGGCGCTGGAGTATACGTGTCATGTTATCATAAAAGTCCTATTCATTTTAAACATCGTGGTTATCGCCAATACCGGTATATTGCCACACTCTAAATTAACACGATGTCGATATTTCAAGCTTTGAATATCAAGATTATCGTCAATACTGGTATATTGCGACACCCCTAATATAAGTACTTACTGTCTGTTTTGTTCAGGATTTTTTTTTTTTTTTTTTTTTTGCTTTGTTACACTAACCTGGATGATTCTTGCTTTCCAGATGACAAAGAAAACCGAAATCTCTCAGTTTAAAACTCCAACAAAGAGAGCCCACGGAGCAACATATACCACCCCCACCCCTAACAAAATTAAAAAGGTACTCGTTTTCTCACTGAGAATGTTGTGTGCAAAAACAAGCATTTTATCAAAACACATGTTCCTCTTTCAATTGTTTCAGACACCCAATCAGCCGGCACCTCGCACTGCCACCGTTAACAGTATCAGTAGCGGCAGCGGCAGCTGCTCATCCACCACGTTTCTGTGTGTGCCAGGAAGGCCTCAACTCTCTGCCAAGGTGAAAATCCCTGATCGGGGCAATCAAAACTCAACTCTGTGATCAAAGATTTTGGCTTGAGATCAGTCCAAAAGGATTGTGGTTAGACTTATAGGGTTAGGTCACCCAAAAATCTGACTTTCGCTCATCTTCGGAACACAAATTAAGATATTTTTTATGAATTCTTGAGAGCTTTCTGTCCCTCCATTGACTATACAACTACCACTTTGAAGCTTCAGAAAGTTCATAAAGAGATCGTAAAACTAATCCATATGAATTGAGCAGTTTAGTCCAAATTTACTGAATAGACACGATCGCTTTATATGATGAACAGATTGAATTTAGGCTTTTATTCACATAAACATTGATCAGCGAACATAAACAGAAGCTTAACCAAACCTGCTTGACCCACGAGAACAAACCTTTTGCGGAATCTCAAATGTGCTGCGCAACATGAGAATGAACCTCATTGGTTCATTAGGAAGCTCAAATGTGCTGCGCAACATGAGAATGAACCTCATTGGTTCTTGCTCAAGTTCAAACGTGCTGCGTAACACGAGAATGAACCTCATTGGTTCTTGAGGAAGCTCAAACGTGGTGTGTAACTAGTGCTGGGCGGTATGACAAAAAATCCATATCACGTTTTTTTTTAAAATAATACCGGTTTCACGGTATATGACGGTATTTTTTTCCCCAAGCATGACTGGGTGTTATCCACATTTTCTACTGAGTGAGAGAGGAAATACTGCAGTAGATTGACTTAGAATGCCCTATTTTACTGTCATGAGTGAATATTGTAGAAAAAATCCACACTAGTATTAATACAGGTTTGCAAGGCTGTTTACAAATAGGTGCCAGCAGGAGGCGCTTAAGGAGCGGCAGAAATAGTGGTTTCCCCGGTAACGGCTGCCATAAACGCTGCTTTATCAGGAAAGATAAAGAAAGATTTAATCGTAATAACAAAGAAACTTTTCTAAAGACCGTTAGTTCACTTCAGACACATTCATATAAAAACACCCGCGCCGCGTTTTGACTTTGAGACGTGCGGTGCTCATGTTTATTCAACGATGTCAATGCCAACCACAAATAGATTTTCCAAAAGGCTGTGTTGATATTGTGAACCAATGTATGGGAAACACTGTAATATAATTTGACAGCTATCAATTATAGTTTAACCTATCCATCTTCACAGTCACGCTAAGTAACACATGCATCACCACAGAGTGCAAGGGTGAAAAGGGACCCTCTCAAACAGTGTCGCGCCGCGTTCCGATCGTTATTAATGGTCATACACCAGTATTGTGGTATATTAAAAATTCATATCATAACAAAAATAAACACCGGTATTCGGTATGAACCGGTATACCGCCCAGCACTATTGGCGCTTTTCCACTGCATGGTACGGTACGGCTTGGCTCGGTATGGCTCGCTTGTGGCGCTTTTCCACTGCATGGTACGTAGGGGTGTGCAAAAAATTTTTTTTTCAATCTTTCCCGATTCAGAATCGATTCATAGAATTCCAAAAATCGATTCATATATATTTTTTTTAATGGCGTGCAGGGGCGGAGTGGCAATCGGGTGAGTTGGGACTTTTACCGGTGGTCCGGTAGTGTTTCGAGGCTGCGAGGGCCGGTCTGATAAATAGTTATACATTGCAAGTTCTTGCCGCCTGCTGGTCAAACTGTGCAGCCTCTCTGCTCAACCCGTAAATAAATGCATCGATCCGCAGATCTTATGTTTGAGTTCTGTAGATCTTTTCCCAAGTGTGTCAGAGGTTACGGGTTCTAAACCGCACTCGTATAGTTTTTTCTCTCTCTCATCAAAACCGAATATGTTTATCACGTTTGTGTGCAGTTTATTTTGTGATTTCACCGGAGTCTCCACAACGGCGATAGATTGAAGCGTGCGTCCGAGTGAAGACTGCGCGAGCCACAGAGAACACCGTATCCATGACACTGACAGCAGCGGACACGAGCGCGCAGCTTGATTTCAAAAACAACAGATCTAATAGCGAACTAAATGAATGCTCTGCTAGTTAACTGGAGATACCCGCAAATTACGCCTATGAACGACTTCATTGGATCTAAACAAATCAATCTAACCATAGATGTTACCAGTAGCGGTGGCTTTTTTAAATCTATTTAAAATATTTTCGCAAGGGTTCTATGACATTAGTATATATTTTTAGGAAGTTCAATGTGCCCAGTCGACTTCACATTTCAACAGTCAACCTGGTAGCTGAAGTAGTCCTTAAACCACATTTAGCATAATTGTTTGTTTGATCTGACTACAGCACTTTAAAGCTAAATGTAAAAGCTTTTTATTTAAGTTTTATTTAAAAAAAAAAAGAAGTTTTTTTTGTATGAAGGCATATAAAGTAATATCAAACTACATTTAATTTGTTGTGTTTCTTTTCTTTTAAATTATGTCTACTGCAATCAATCACATAGGAAAAAGTAAACTACATTTATATACTGCAAATCGTTTTTTGAATCGAGAATCGTTTTTGAATCAAAAATTGGTATCGAATTGTGACATTTTCTGAATCGTGCACCCCTAATGGTACGGTACGGTACGGCTCGCTTCGACTCGCTTTAAATGGTACCACCTCTGTTGAGATTCCAAGCGTACCGTACCGATACTAAAATGTGACGTGAACACACTGCAGATCACTGATTGGTCAGACAGAATCGTCACTACCACCGTCATTGTATTTGCGAGACATCAAACCCGCTAGATTTAAATAGCCAGTAACAGCCACCGCTGTAGCACCTGTTTTAAAACTACTTGCTTGAAGAAAAAAGAAAGAAAGAAAACTTCCAAAAAAGAAATGGCTGAATCGTAGTCAGTGGACGAAGTGCAGACGTTCCTCTCGTTGGTTGCCGAGGAGCGGATAAACTATAACGGTCAGACTATAATCCCACCCTCTTTGAAGCGGTACTAACTGCAGTGGAAAAGCAAACCGAGCTAAAGCGAGCCGTGCCGCGCGGAGCCGAACCGTACTGAGCCGTACCAGCAGTGGAAAAGTGCCATATGTGTAACACAGGAATGAACCTCATTGGTTCTTGAGGAAGCTCAAACCTGCTGCGTAACACGAGAATGAACCTCATTTGTTCTCGCACGTCAAGCGAACATGCTTGAGCTTCCTTTTACCACAACTGATATGTGAGCTGATGACTGTTTATATGTGAATAAAAGCCTACATTCGTCATATAAAGCGATCGTGTCTCCTCAGAAAATTTTGTCTAAACCGCTCAATTCATATGGATTAGTTTTCATAAAGAATCTCTTTATGAACTTTTTGAAGCATCAAAGTGTTAGTTGTGCAAATCGCTATGATTTCATCAAAAAGAAGATCTTCATTTTTGTTCCGAAAATGAACGAAAGTCTTACGGGTTTGGAACGACATGAGAATGAGTAAATGACAGAATTTTGGGGTGAACTAACCATTTAAGTTCAGTGTTAAAACAGATGTTCCCTCAGCTAACACTAGATGACACTGTTGGATCAACAAAAATCAGTACTCTGTAAAACTGTTGGTCAAGTCCCATCTTCTTTAGTATGTTGTTGGTAGCGTCTTTACACTGAAGATCAATGATGATGCTTCATTTTTGTGTGGTTTTGTCTTTGGTCTAACAGAGGAGCAAGACAACAGAGGCCAGCTCTGGCCCACATGTGCCGCTGCAGGAGTTCAACAGTGACCAGAAACTGGTTCCAATGAGCTACTCAGCCTTTACCGTAAGACCAATCACTCGGTTCTAGACCACTTCCCCGGATGTATATTAACTCCAAATGGAGCATCGGTGATAGGAAGGATGCTCATTTGTGACCGCTAATTCCCCTGAGAGAGATCATTAACATTTTAAGACCCACACATAATAATGATTCAGTGTCCAGCTTGTAAAAATGTTAACAAATGTGTCGTCTTGTTTCCTATTACAGAGCGAGCTCTCCAAGAAAGCCAACAGTGATGCTTTTCTCAATTCCACCGTTAGAGACATGCTTTGAATGGTCTGTCGGCATTGTTTTTTTATTATTATTTATTTTTTTATGAGGTTTAGGTCATGAATTATCATGTCAGGATTTGAAACTGTACAGGATAAAACAATTCTCAGGTGTTTGTCTTATTTACATTTTACCAGTGCAGTGACTTTCCAACAACTTATTTTGTTTTAAAAGGCACTATTATATATATTTTTATATTGCTTTAATTGTCATTGTTTACCTACTTAGTTGGATTGTGTATATATTAGCTCATAGAAGGTCAGTTATTTCCTTGTGTATATTCAGCACTTTTAATAAAATGCTTTTTTGTACATTCAAAATTGAATTATCTTTGTTCTGATTTCTGCCTTGGTGAGCATAAGAGACTAAACATTTTACTGACCCCAAACTTTTCAATGGTAATGTATATTGTGAGTGGATGTCAACGCAGTGCTTCAGAGATCTTAGCATTATTATACATCATCAGATTGATTGCCACTGGCAGAGCATAAACATCTGTTGTGTGCCTTAACTTCACATTTGTAATCATCTTCACATTCGTTTTGCAAATGGATAGTAATTTAGATCTTTGATGGTTGAGTTTGAATTTTTGAGTGGCACTAGATACCTCGACATGTAAGTGGCTCATTTGGGCAAAACAATGTAATGGCTTGATCAAGCTAATGCTTTCAAGGCCATATGAAGCATTACACAATTAAAATATTCTTCACCATTTAGCTGTCTACGAGGACCCTCCATCAAGCCGTCTGGAGCACAATGGAAAGAACAATGGCAAATCAATCAAACAGATGCTTTTATGTAATGGATGAGAAGTGCTGAACGGATGCAGTACGATTAACAACAGTTTTTATGTAGTTTTATGAAACTTTGTTTTTAGATTCATCTTCCAGATACACTGTACATTAAATTCAGTTCGATTACACAATGATACAATAAAAGTACAAATGTCACACAGTGACAAGCCACTGCTTCTTTTCACAGAAGTCAAAACTACATGTACAATATAAATACCTTGATGAATTAAAGAGGGAGTATCAACTCATCATTAAAATGAGCGTTTGAGGTTCACTGTATGCAAGAATAACCACATGCTTAATGACAGGTCGCTTTTAGCTGTCTGCTGAGCAATATATATATATATATATATATATAGCCTTTACAGCCAAAGCTGACGTATCCCAGACAGCAACATATTGTCTGCCCAGATCCGGCTCACATCTGGTACACATGGAATCCACGCGTACCAGATGTGGGCCGAATATGGGCGGACACTATGTTGTTGTCTGGGATTGCTCCTAATTTGAAAGATGAGAACTACATAAATGAGCAGTAAGCTGACAACCCCATATAGCTTGAAAAATATTCAAGGGGATGAAGAAAGATCTCTGTATGGAGCAGTTTTCTTTACCTTTTTGTTTCAAACTTTAAATTCCTGGGCATATTATCTGTTTGCTTTCGTCTGCTAAAATGTCTGCATGCTAACATCACACTGTAGAAGTTCTGCCAAATAGGCCAAATAAACTAACTGCAATGAAGTCTCTTGATTTGACACATATTTCCTATGTAGGCTGTTGTCTGTATGTTTTCATCAAACAACATTTGTAGGTTTTTGAACTCTTGGCTATGATGCACCAACAGACTCCTGTGATTCCAGCTCACTCGACAGAAATCGGTTGGAATTGTTGCTGTATCTTCGGCTTTGAAGAAATGACAATCTGAAGATAAAAAAATATATACATTTTATATTTTGCTTGGTAGGCAAAGAAGCTTTCTTGGAAAAGAAGACAATGCAGTTCAGTGCAAAAAGAATATGCTAATGTCAGTGGACAAGTGAATAAAAACAGATGTGAACAGGAAAACAAGAAAAGCCAAAAGTAATGAAAGTAAAGATGGATCAGACCAGAAACAAACTAGCAACAGATTCTTTGTGTATAGTAATATAGAGCCTTATGGACTGGCTTTGGACATACAATTTCTAAATGTCCCTGATATGATGTCTCAGTAACTCTTCAGGGAAAAAAGTTCTGAACTAAAATATAATATTTAGTTGTTCTTGAACTAAAATACACAGGAAACCTTAAAGTCCCTGTAAAGGCAATAAAAAAAAAAAATTCTAAACGCATTATAAATGTTAGAAATGTATTGCTAAAACACATTACAAAGACTGAACTGTGAAGTACTGAATTGTGGAGTTAGACTGTTAAACAATTTTTCACCATTGATATTTTACGGATTTTTTTGGGCGGGGCTAAAAGGGTACTCGATGACGCACTGGAGCCCCTGGCCCCGCCCCTACCTGATGACGCACTGGAGCCCCTGAGCTCCTGGCCCCGCCCCTACCTGATGACGCACTGGAGCCCCTGAGCTCCTGGCCCCGCCCCTACCTGATGACGCACTGGAGCCCCTGAGGCTGGCCGCTCCCCTAACAATATAAATAGAGCACATTCGCATCAGTTTGCCGCTCAATCGCGAGTTACTGTCAGTATTATTAGTTACTACAGCTTACAGTTTGCTAGTTAGCAATGTCTTCGTCACGGAAATGCATACTACCTGGATGCGATCACGTACAAAACAGATCGGTGTCCTTCCTTATTTAAATTTCCTAAATAGGATCACATCAAGAAGGGGTGGATTAATTTTGTGAAGAGCCACTTTGATGGAGAGCTGAGGATCACCACCAAAACCCGCCTCTGTAGTGATCATTTTACACGGGATAGTTTTATAAACTTTCGTCGGAGACAACTGGGATTCACTGATAATCCGCTGTTACTGGTGAATGGGGCCGAAACGACTATCTCCCGCCTCGGCCTTCATCCTCCCGGTCGCGCCGACAACTGGTGACATCATCGGCAGTGCGTGCCCACCAATGAGTGTAATGGCGCTTTTCCATTACCAGTACCAGCTCGACTCGACTCGACTCGCCTCGACTCGGCTCGCTTTTCGCTCCGTTTTCCATTGCAGAAAGTACCGCCACAAATAGTACCCGGTCGTCATAGCGACGCATTTCGTTCCTCGTTGCCCCATCAAGCTCTCGCTGGATCCTCTCTTCGGCAACCAAACAAAGGAATGTCTGCACCTCCTCGTTTGACCACGGCGTATTCTTCCGAGTTGCCATAACAATAGTAGTAAGTTTAGTAACTATCTCTGGCCAAACTATTTAAAATACTCCATCTGGCGCGTGCAATGATGACGCAGATTCTCTGTGACCAATCAGCAGTCGGCATTGTTTTCACGTCACATTTTAGTATCGGGTTAGCTCGCCTCAGCTCGCTTGGAACCTCGCCGGAGGTGGTACGAAAAAAAGTACCCGAAAGCAGGTACAGGTACAACTTTTACACAGTGGAAAACCAAACAAAGGCGAGTCGAGTCGAGCCGAGGCGAGCTGGTACTGTGTAGTGGAAAAGCGCCATAAGTTGCCTTTTGCGCTTATGTTATAAATAACCCTAAAAGGCTGCTAGGAGCATCGGGTGACAGTTGATTGTGGCGACGGCAGCTTTACCACGAGTGGGCGTGGTTTCAGCGCAGCCAACGGACACGCCCCCAGCGTTTGAGAGCAGAGACTACTGCTCATTTTTTCAAGATTTTGATAGCTTATTTTATGTACTTGCCGGATTTTTTTATCATTCAAATTTGGCTGAGTGTCTAATAACACATTTTTCTGTGATATGACAAACTCAGAACACATAGTTCATTTTTACTTTACAGGGACTTTAAAGGATTAATCACGTTGAAAGGTCACACATGTTCCGGTTCAAAAAAGGTAGGGTACAGGGCGAAAAACTTAATTTTATTTTCTCCTCCAACTTCAAAATCGTCCAACATCTTTGTTTTAACTTTTATTTATTTTTTATTTTTTTGTAAATGGCGTTTGACTTTCTTTGCACGTTCGCTTTGTAAACACTAGGTCGGTACATCTGCGTATGTCACGTGTGACCTTTCAACGTGATTACATAATGCGTGGCGCATCGCAGTGCTAGTGCAAGGCGAGCATTTCTGGTTAAAATATATATAAATGTTTTTTTTTTTTAAATGACCGATCCTTTCGTTAGATAAGACCCTTATTCCTCGCTGGGATCGTGTAGAGCCCTTTGAAGCTGCATTGAAACTGCAATTTGGACCTTCAAACCGTTGTACCCTTGTACCCCATTGAAGTCCACTATATGGAGAAAAATCCTGAAATGCTTTCCTCAAAACCTTAATTTCTTTTCGACTGAAGAAAGAAAGACATGATCTTGAAGTAAATTATCAGGAAATTTTTATTCTGAAGTGAACTAATACTTTAATGGGTCCAATACGTTTTAGCTGCTCTTGGATTTGTTTTAGATTTAGAGAAAGTATGGTTTCCAAAAAGGATCTCTCCTAATGGTTTCATAAAAAATGTCAAGCCAACCTGTGTCAATCAAAGAGATCCATCAAAGTTCCTCTGACCAAATTTAGACATTCATTAAAACTAATTAAACCTTGTCGAAGACTTTTTGCACAATTATGGTGCACATCCATTAAGAGCCAAAAAGAAAACTTTCACAATGCTTGAGTTACAGTTGCCATTTAGATGACATATGTGACTAATTATTAAAAAAAATATATATATTTTAATCTTTTGCTAATCTGGAACACATACACTCACCTAAAGGATTATTAGGAACACTATACTAATACTGTGTTTGACCCCCTTTCGCCTTTAGAACTGCCTTAATTCTACGTGGCACAAGGTGCTGAAAGCATTCGTTAGAAATGTTGGCCCATATTGATAGGATAGCATCTTGCAGTTGATGGAGATTTGTGGGATGCATATCCAGGGCACGAAGCTCCCGTTCCACCACATCCCAAAGATGCTCTATTGGGTTGAGATCTGGTGACTGTGGGGGCCATTTTAGTACAGTGAACTCATTGTCATGTTCAAGAAACCAATTTGAAATGATTCGAGCTTTGTGACACGGTGCATTATCCTGCTGGAAGCCATCAGAGGATAGGTACATGGTGGCCATAAAGGGATGGACATGGTCAGAAACAATGCTCAGGTAGGCCGTGGCATTTAAACGATGCCCAATTGGCACTAAGGGGCCTAAAGTGTGCCAAGAAAACATCCCCCACAACACTACACCACCACCACCAGCCTGCACAGTGGTAACAAGGCATGATGGATCCATGTTCTCATTCTGTTTACGCCAAATTCTGACTCTAACATCTGAATGTCTCAACAGAAATCGAGACTCATCAGACCAGGCAACATTTTTCCAGTCTTCAACTGTCCAATTTTGGTGAGCTCTTGCCAATTGTAGCCTCTTTTTCCTATTTGTAGTGGAGATGAGTGGTACCC